CCCATTCCAGAAGAAAACGGATGACATTTAAACTGCATTTGCTAAACCTTGAAATAGAAGCACCGGAAGACTTCAGGTTGCTCATTCAATAAACAAAAAGGAAATTCTTTTCGATTCTAAGATGTTCCACAAGAGTACTTTCCAGTGAAGATCCTTCTCGCCTAGCCTATACGGAGTAAAAATATCTAAATTTTTTCAATATGCTCAATCAACATATAGGGCTTACTAAAATGATCATGTAAAAGATAAAGCCATGTTACAGAAATCAAAGCTACATGTAGAATGCAAAAGTACCGTAGCTACATGAAAGCGACCATCTTTTTTTTTTTTCGGAAAGATTCTGGATTCAAAATAATAACAGCAAGACACTAGCTAAGAGAGCACGGAAGTCGTGTAATCATGCCTGAAAACTGTAACGCAAAAACAGATGCAACAATGACAGATCACCCCCTCCCCCACCCCCGGTGGAACTAACTAGTACATCTCGAATCATTTGATATACAATGACCGGGTAATTAAATAGTAGAACCCAAAGCCATAAGCAATTCAAGAATGAAATTTCACCAGCTTTTAACCAGGCAACCAGAGATAAACACCGTATTCCAATCACTAGAGATCTAAATTTCTCATATGACACGGAATAAGCCTCAACTGGACCTCAACTAAACAAATTGTACTGCAAAATCAAGCATGCAGATCCCGAGCTATACCAGCTCATCCACCCATCGAGCTGCCGGATAAACGTGCAGTAGTAGTAATTACAAAAATGCATACATCCATTCATATGTGTGTCCGAGAACCCGTACGTGAGTGTGTGTGCGTGCGCCACCATAGGTGCGCGCGTATATGCAGAAAGTACAAAAACAAAAGAGATAAATGAGTAAAAAATAGTACTCCTCAGTTTCTTCATAGCTGGAGTCAGAGCTCTCCTCCGAATCTGAAAAACCAAACACACGTAAAATAAACGTAAATCAACAAATTCAGATACAAACGGTGACCGGAACACGAATTCAGTTCGACCAAAATACAGCATGCGCGTATACCGTACACTCGAACAAAAACCTACCTTTCTCGCTGTCGCTCAGCTTCTGGTTGTGATTCTCGCTGCCTTGGAGCGAATCATCGGGTTTTTCTTCCTCGGGCGGCGGCGGAGGAGAAGGAGGCGGAGTGGCGGCCTCCGGCGAGCGCTTCTGGGAGGGCATTGAGCCGAATGGGCGGAGGAGGTCTCGGTGACGGCCGCGGTCGGTGGAGGCGGTGGTGAGGTGGTGGGGAGACGGAGTCAGCGACGAGAGGGAGGTAATTGAGAGTGTGGCTTCGTTCGAGTGCTTGAGAGGAAATGTAATGTAGAATCTAAAATCTGTTTTTGTTGTGTTTTTTTTTTTTTTTTTTTT